GCATGAGGTAACTAACTGCATGCCCAGCAGATATTGGTTATTTTAGGCGTCGCGTGGTCAGCACATACTTTTCTCTCAAGAAGATTCTTTTGAATATTAGTAAATCCATTCTTTTTTCGATGTTTTGGAATTAAATGTTTTAACCGTTCTCTTTTCAGTTTTTAGAAATATATAAAAAACGTTCTCTTTTGAATGCTGTTCTCTAATAAATGAAAAAGATTTCAAAAATAGTTTTCCATTGTGTGATAATTCCCTTCCCTTTTCGTATTTTATCCAGAAAATGTATCTGTTATGTTGAGGATCACAAGTGTAATGAATTAAATTTGAAAGAATTTATTGCACTTTGAAAGCAAAAGGTTATTTAGACCATCAATAATGTGAATAGCTGCTTCTATTTCTAATATGACACTCTGACAATTCACGTTTTCTGTAAAACTAAGTACGGTGCAGCTAATTCCAAAATCGAGTGGAATTTGTATTTGAACTTATATAAACCATTCGATAGAGGTTTTCAAGCAGATCAAGAATATATCGTTTTTAATTTTTCGAAACGTTCTTTTCGTGCCGAAAAATCTCGAAGGGTCTAAGAACTTGAAAAAACGACGATGTTCGAAAAAGTTAGATTTTTTCGACTTGGGTTGTTAGTCGGAACGTTCAAACTATTTTTTCTTATTCAGCGTTAAAAGGTGAATTAAAAATAATACTAAATCCATTTAAGGTATACTTTCGAAATGGATTGTTATTTGGTCTATTGACCGACATTATTTGCATATGTTTTCATTCTAATTTACACTAGATGCACACTTTTCTTCTTCTGAATAAATCTTCAATATTCATCATTATGAATAGTTCTTCCAACGACGATGGCATATAATTTGGATGAGGCAATACAGAATTAACAAGTGATATTAACCGATTTGACTGTGATTTACAAATGTTGGCATCATGTAAAAGTCGTGTTAAATTTCGACAATACTGATCTATTGAGATATTTGTAAAATAATGCAGGCGTGTTTCTATTGAACAGATGGTGTATTTTGTGTGTTAATAATATCATAAGCATTATGGAACACATTTGCATTCAAATCACTCTCAATATCTTGTGAATAATACTCTAAGGTATTATCATCTTCTACTGAATCGTTTTCAACATCAAGCACGTCATTACGAATAATCTTGTGATTCGGCTTAAGATACTCTTCATGTGTAATTGAAGGTGTTACTGGTGTTTGTTGCTGACCTTCCTCTTTCGCCTCACGTCTTGAATCTTGAACTGGTGGTGATGGATATATTGATCAATTAATTTAAACTCACCTTGTTGACGTTCAGCTCGTCGTACTTCCTTTCTAAGACCTAAGCCATTCCGATATTGTTCTTTCGCAAATGCCAAAGCAATTCGAATTTATTCGTTCATTTTCGATCTTAAAAATAACAAAATGAAAAATAGTGATAAACATGCACGAAAAAAGAAAAGCAAATTAGTGCATCGAGATTTCGAGGATCAATTATAACAGACCTAGTCGAGTCTCAAACAAAATAAATTGAAGCTTTACGATAACAATTAATATTGTTCTACATCAGAAGTTTCATTTAATCAGTTTCTATTGAAATCATAGGAAATACTATTCTTTTTCCTATGAAAAGAAAACAATTTTGGCTGACGTGAGGTAAATTTTCTGTAAACTAAACTTCTTTGAATAAAAATAAAATGTTCTGAATAAAAGCAGAAAGGTACAGAGTAGACTTGAGAGTTCTATTGGTCGAAATATTTTCCTCAGCTTCATTGAATGAAAATGATATGGAGTAGGTAGTCGACTGAAAACGAGTATGAGCGACCTCTGTGGATAATCCTAGAAAAGATCATTTCCACTTGAATTGATGAAAACAAGGTAACAACAACATTGGATCACAACAATAATGTACTGGAACTAATGCCGGTGAAAGCCTGTCTACACATATGAAAACAATCGATCATTTAACGATGTCTTCATCCACTCCTCTTATACCCACAATATGGCCTTCATTTTCACAAGTTGAAATGAAAAGTTCTTATCCTCTATAGTATGTATAGAAAGAAGAAAACATCAAAGTTTCATCTAACTGAACTAGTGCGTGGATTTTATCGACATGAATGTTTCGCTATACAATTAAGAATATAACGG